AAAAAAACATAGTGCAAAGTGCTGGCATAAAAGCAAATTAATTTCCAAAACCAAATTGAAAAAAGCGAAAGTGTTTGTAATTATTTAGAATTTGTTTTCTAACAAAACAACAACAACATCGCTATGAAACCCGCCGATTTGAACGAGCAATATGCACGCTTTCCGGAAATCTCACGCGATGAGATGCAAAAGTTCGTCAATTGGATACGCGCCCAACCGCATATGCAGAATTTGTTGGAAGAGGAGGCCTTACACTTCTTCCACGCCTGCAAGAATAGCATGGAAATGTCCAAACAGGTGCTGGACACCAATCTAACGGTACGCACGCATTGTGATGACTTCTTTACGAATTTGGACTGTGAACGGCCGGAGCTGCAGCGTGCCATGCGAACAGTGTAAGTCAACTGTGGATTTGTGAGTGAAAAAAAAATGAAAATTTAATGAAAATGCCGAAGAAAAGTTTTGCGTGATTTTTGAAAAATTCTACACAGAGAAAAATCACTGATAAATTTTATACAAATTATTAATCAATAACAAATTATTTAGCTTTAAAACTACCTAGATTATTTTATTTTAGTATATCTAATTGTTGAACACTGACACTAAAATCTAATCACATAAACAGATAACCCGATAACCCGATCTGCAACCAAACCCGGAGTGCATTCTGAGGTCACAGGGCCCTACTGTGTGATACCCAGAAGAGGGTCTCACCCATACCTATCCCTATATGCCTTCAATCATTCCGATTTTCTTCCGGCTACCAGCTGGCAATCTGACGGAGTTTTCTCTACGTTGCCTAAGCTCTATATAAAGTGCTTTCCCGAAAATTTGAGGTGTGCCAATTGGATTCTAACTCTTCTTCATCTCTGTGGGTTAGGTTAGGTAAGCCGGCAAGCCACTGTACCGTTAAGATCTATAGCGTTACCAGATAAGCTGCGACCACATTAGACAGCTAATCGCTGATTAGAACATTGCAGTGCTCTTGGCAAACTAGAACACCTTTCGTGTACCAGAATAGGCGGACAGTCTGCTAAGAGCAAGACGCCTAACTGCCGTCCCTAAATTGGAGCGCTAAGCGTTGCGTTATCCATTGTCAAACAGTGTCATCGCGCGCTATACCCAAATCAACGCGTCGTAATTTTTGACGTTTTCTCAGGTCCTCTCGTTTTTATTCTTATTTCCTCTTTCACTTTTTTGTCCTTTCTCTTTCTCTTCGTCTTCTGCATCCAACTTCAGCACGTAACGCCCTGTCAAAAATGAAAATTCCATTTGCTCGGCGTTAGCGCCGCGTTATTGTGGGATGGTTCATACAAATTGTATGGGCATGAGGATTTTTGACAGTTGCTTGGCGCTTGACGCGCCAATTTAGAGATGGCAGTAAGCGATTTTGGCCGTAAATCGCTTGAAGGGAAATTGGCACCTTCTCTACCAGCATAGTTTGCTGTGCGATGGTGGCGCATTTAGCGCAGCCTGACTGTCGATATAGAGATTCATCTGCTTATTGCTAGATCCGCCCCCCACCTTATGGCAAATACTTACTTCCGCCTAGAAAATTTTGCTGTAGTTCGGTAGCTTATAGAATTTGCTAAGACCGAGCTTCGCGCAGACGACTGGCGCCATTATACCTTTCTTCATCTTCGACCCAACTCTTTAGACATTTACCAAGGCAACACTCCTCAAGCCAGACTTCGACCTCAATAATGGCTTCGAAGTTCGTCCCAGAGTGCAGATCATGTAGTCAAGCTGTCCGATTAGTGTTGAGGCTATACCGTTGTGTCCGTAGGACAAACCTACCCCGTAGCATAGAGCCTGGAGGCTATTTTAGACGATATCTTCTTGGCCGATATGTCCTCCGGCAAGAGACATAGCTTCTACACAAATTTTGCGGCACTACAGTGTGAGAAACGGAACGTTCGCTGTGGGAGCGTTAGCAAACTCCATGTTCTTCGTTCACCGTACAGCGGGCAGAGTGAGCTCGATACAGCGCAGTAGTGCTCATGAGCTGTTGCTAGCTGATCTGTCCATCTCATTAGCTCACTAATCCTATTTGAATGTTAGTAGTTTACAGCTCTAACTGTTAACCCATAAAATAAAGTTGTTTCTTTTTAAAAAATTTAAAGAGATTTTCTTATGAAACAAAAATTCAAAAGGTTTTTCTGGCAAAACCATCTATCATACCTCTCCATCTAAGAACTATTTATAAAGACAATCTTTAAATTTTTATTAGCCACATTTTTTTCTGTGTAGCGTGTAAAAAATGCAAGTCTTAAGATTCAATTATATTTTTTCCGAAATTCCTGTTTGTTTGTATGTAATATTCGTATAAATTTTTTTAAAGCAATAAAAACTTGTTTTTTATTTTGGGCATATTTTAATACTAAAATTTACATTAACCAACTATCGTCATCCATTTGTTAGTCAAGAGCGTCAGTATGTGGTTCATAAGCAGAAACACAGAGGCCCCTATTATGAGTTGCATTCGATTTTCGACTGTGGTCGAAAGTGCTGAGCGAACGAATTTTCGTTTGGTATTATGGCGCTCATTCGATGAAGAATAGCGCTATTGTGAATTTCGCTCGTTTAGGTTGTTCACAATAGTATATTTTTCACCGCTGAGAAGCTTTGTTTACAAATCGAGCAAACTAAATAGTGTGCTTATACATATTTATGCAAATTTGTTCTAATTAAAATGAAGTAAAAAAGAAAGCAATTTTATAAAAACGTGGTAAAATGAGTACAACGAGTTCTGGTTCAACGATTCGTCAGAGGATGAGAGCTTAGTAAACTGGCCAGGAGTAGCAAATGCTCTCTTAAACATTTAAGTTTATTAGTCTTACGAATATATTTTTATATACAATATATTTAAGAAATTTGTCTACCGATTCATTAAAAAGTTCCGACCATCTAAAGAGGCGTTTGTGAGCCAAATCTATTTAAAATATTTTAAAACTATCAACAGCGCTACGATTTTGTTCTCAGAGATCGTGCCAACAGAGCATTGGGATTTTCTTTCACAAGTAAAACCAGCCTTTCGAGCTTGTGTTTAGTATTCACGATGTTAGAACTGCATGAAATTAATAAAAATTGTTTAAAATTAGTGTCTAGCCGCCAAAATGTAAGAAAACATATACAAAATCATACATTTTTCACAATTTTCTAACACTTCGCTACACCATCGAAAGCAAAATTCTGTTCGACAGAAAATTCGATACTCAACGAAAATTTCGACACGCTTGCATAGCTCATAATACGAATTTCACTTTCGATCTTCGATCTTCGATAGCCAGCGAAGATCGAAAATCGAATGCAGCTCATAATAAGGGCCAGATATTAGGCTTATTCGACTATTCTGCCAGTAACGATTGCGCATCAACAAATACATAGCTTGCATAATTAACAATTCCCTCTAAAATTTAAGAAAGTTATTCAGAAGAGTACGCAAACGCTGATCGAAGCCAAACTAGAAACGGAAAACGTTAAACAGTTAACGAGTATGTATGTACATTAGACTGCGCCTTATTTTGCAACTTTGTCCTGCAAAGCAAGACTCCCACTAGAAAGGTTAATTTTTGTCATAAAAACGTGCGCTGTGAAAAATTTCAGGAAATTCATGAAATTTTTCACAAAGTGGTCAAAGTTAGTGGAAAATTTAATAGTAGCCTGGCACTCTGGCAAAAGAGCAGATGAGCTCAAACAATGACTGTTGGTCATAAATGGGCAGTGCCAGGCCCATTTTTCAAAAAAAATTTATGAACGTATTTCTTGCTAAATAATTATTGCAAACATCAATTACAGTTCAGTAGTTACTGATTTATCGATGATGTCGTATTTCTCTAAATTACCGTTATACGGGATATGGGCGTCTGATTTTAAAAAATTTCAGCCCTTTGATATTTTTTACCTGGATCAACATCTGTGCAAAGTTTAGGAGAAACCGGTAAGGTGTCCCATTTTCCAAAAATTTATAATATTCTTATTTTCCGCCTAAAGATCATTGCAAATGTCAATTTTCGAGTGAATAAGCTTCAGTAGTTACTAAAATATCGCAATTTTCGTATTCCTGAAAACTACCGTTATATGGGAGGTAGGCGAGATTATTGTCCGATTTTTTGCATTTTCAATACCATCCGTCCTTGTTTCAAAAGAAATACACGTACCTAGTTTCGTTAAGTCATCTCAATTTTTACTCGAGTTATCGTGCATTTTTGTGTGTACATTTATCTATATCGATTCCTTTAGGCTGTTACAAACAACCGTTATGTGCACAAGTGCGCTCTTCAGGTTAGAAGGTGTGCGGCGAACTTTTTTTTTTTTGGCACAGTCTAATGTACATATGTATACATACATACATAGATCTTATGATTTATTAATGTATTTTTTATTTCTTAACTGACTTTAAAATATGTAAACTACATACTATATATACTACTTATGAATTTTATTTATTAATGTATAAAAAACTTCTTACAGTTCCATATGCCCTTTGCCACAAACCACATCCGATGGATATCGTGTTATAATTGGAAAGTTAGCGGACACAAATGCCTCGAACTTCAATTTTGTGGATGTCATGAAACTGTAAGTAAATAATTACAATTCTCTGAAAAACCTAAGGGTTCCAAGCATAGATCCCGATAAATACAAAACGATGTGCACCGGTGTCTTACAAAAAGTATATATACATACATATATGGGCATATTTCTAAAATTTTTGATTTTGGTGATTATGCATAGTTTCGTAGGTATATGGTCAAAATCGCTATATATATGTTGGGTATTTTTCAAAAGAAAATATATTATAATATAATAAAAGTTACTGTAGTTATTACTTAATTAGTTTTTAACCGACTTCAGTAAAAGGAGGAGGTCATCAATTCGTCGATTTTTTTTTTTTTGTGTATGTTAGCTCATAACTTTGAACCACGTTAACCGATTTCAAATCTTCTTTTGAACATTTTTAATAACATGTGAATTTTTTTGTTTAATTTTTTCATTTTTGGAGAACCCAACAATTGTTTTCTACTAGTTTTTATTACGTAACATTTATTTACTGGAACAGGATAATCAATTTTCTTCAAAATTTATACTTTTGCTGCTCTTTGCCCTAAAAAATTTAATATAATCAAATAACAAATCAAAAATCAGGCTCCAAAATGAAGACTCCAGTGAATTGTAAACACGAAATGTCAGTTTTGAAACACTGTACACTGTGGCTGAGTGGGTTAGACGTGTGTATTACCACTCCGAGACATCCAAATTAGAAAAAGTAACTTCTAACAGCGGTCACCACTCCGCGACAATTGGCAAACGTCCGAGTGTATTTCTGCCCTGAAAAAGCTTCTCATAAAATCCATTTGCCATTCGGTGGCGGCGTAAAACTGTATGAAATCAGAATGCACATCTCAAATTCGAGGAGAAGCTCAGCCAAACACTTAGCAAAAGTTTAAGTGTCAAAAATGTTATATTATATATGCAATTAACATTGCGTGAAAAAAGGAATTGAACTTTGGCTTGAAGGTTTTAATTAAGTTAGTGGGGTTTTTTTTTAATAACGGGCTAATGTAGATATATATGTATGCATGTACATTAGACTGCATCACCAAAAAAAATTGCGATTTTTCCGCTGGAACCGATTTGAAAATACCTCCAAAATTGGAGTTTTTTATGAATAAAAATATTTTCCTTAAGAAAATTTTGAAAAAAAAAAATTACAAAACAGATTCAAGTTTAAAAAATCAGCATAAAAATATTTAAAAATCTTATCAACGGAATCGTAATAAAGATATTTTTGATGCTGTTTTTTAACTGGGTCAAAACTATTCCGATTTAGACTTATTAGGTATCAATAGAAAGGTATTTTCCCGCCATTTTTATTAATGTGCCAAAAAAAGTCATTCACATCCCAAATTTTTTTTTTCAAATGTCAACATATTAACAATTCAACTTGGAATGATGTCCGTTCATCTTATATTTCTCTTTCATCCTTTGAATGAGCTAATTAGAAAAAGAAATAAAAAGGGTGAAAAATACCTTTCCAATGATACCTCACAAGTCTAAATCGTTTAAGGTTCAGTTACTAAATTTTTTCTTATACCAATCTTTGAAAAAATTAAAAATCAGCATTAAAAATTTCATTATTACGATTCCGAAGAAAATTTTTTTTAATTGTTTTCTTAATATTTTTATGCAAATTTTTTAAGCTTTAACCGCTTTGTAGTTTGAGAGGATTTTTTTTTCAAAAAATCTTTAATAAGCTATTTTTATTCATAAACAATATTTTTCCGAAATATTTTGGTGGGCGTCTAAAAATATATAATAGATTTTATAATTCCAATGGAAACACAGTACCGATTTTTTTTTGTATGGGAGTGATGCAGTCTAATGTACATATGTATGTATGTATTTACCTGTATGATTTTACCTAATAATTTTGTATACGAGGGCGCGATGATAAGTGCCCTAATTGATGGTTTGATGACGCAAATCATATGTCTGTATGTAAACACAAATATTATTTTATTGGAACAGGATCTGGCACTCAAAAACTGTCCCTAAGAAAGATTTGTCGGCTCTCAAATGACTGCAGTGTATTCAAGACTGAATTCCAATTAGAAAGAAAAAAAAGTAACCGTACACCTTCTACTCTGTGCAATTTCTGCAGATAATTTTTACATTTTTCGTCATAACTTTGGCATTTACAATCGGATCCGTAAGGCATGATATATGTATTTTTTTTGTACCAAAGTTCAATGACCTCAAGTATGCCCTTCTAGTACTTACCCACCAGAACTCAGTTCTTATCACTCTAACGTACTACCCTAATGTTAATAAATCAAAGCTCACTAAAAATTGTTAAACTTTTGCTAGTACCGAATTTTCAATGGGCATTGAAATGACAAAAAATGAATGCCATGTGGAAACGAGACATAAGTTCTGTTCGTCGAGCAAAAAAATTTATGAATTTGTACGAATTATCACGATCGCCCAAATCGCGTTCGTACAGATCAAAAAATTATCCATCACTCAAACACTGAGAGCGGAAAGTGACAGTTCTCCAGGAGAGAAGTTGCTGGCTAAAATTTTTCCAGCAA